CTGCAGTATAGTTTATTATAGGATTGTGTGTTTGTCAATGTTATGACCAATGACTTTACTCAGAAATGAGGTCATTGAATTATCAACGATGCAGGGGTTCTTTACCCACCTCCTTTTTTGCTTGTGGATTATTTGCCCATCAATATTTTTTTTGTGAAACCCAAAAGACTGTATATTCATTAAAATGTAATATTCTACATGACCAAATGTAAATTTCATTTGTGAAAAGATAACAGAACGATGGACGATGATGATGAAGGAGTTTATTTTGACGGGAGGAGAGAGATTGCGAAAGCTTGGCAGCCTTGGCCCAAACAAAGACAAAGATCCCCCGTATAGCCTTTAACAGACTGTTGGGGCAAGTGCTGTTATCGAGCACCTATGAAGGCCGGAACGGCACACAAGGGGGTGGGTGGTCAGCACCACGCCCGGCCGCCTTTGCCTCCCCAGTGGAGATGTTTACACACCACACCAGGTACTCATTTGAGGCTGAGTCAACCTAGGGGAGGCCCAGGACTGGTTCAGATTATTGTCACTGGTGTTGGCCATCGTAGCGCAGCGTGCTAACCGCTACACTACCGCTACCCAGCCTTGGCCCTCCCTCATGCTCACATGCACACACATTGTTAAAAAATAAAACAGCGAAAAAAAGGCTTTCATTCAATAGATTTAATAACGAATGAGGGGGCCTGTTGCAATGAATGATATAGATCTTTTCTTCCTGAGACTGCCACTCAACAAAGGCAGGAAATTGATTTAATTATTTTTATGGAATATATAAATATTGTATTATAACTAGATTAGTGTTCTCACAATTCTTTGTCCCGTAACCCCAAACGAAATGCATACACGTCTTATTGTGATTTAAAGTATTTTATAATGTGTTTACGTATCTGTTTATTACGACTTTACCTTACTTCCAGCCCTCTAGTTTGAGTACAGCATGATTTGTTTCATTTGAAAATAATATATTTTTCAGACATGCTACAGTCACGGGTCTTTTGATTAAAAATAGCACATACATAAATGCCATAGTGCTCTATAATATCGCAGTAATAATTTGTGACTCCCAAAGGTTATGCTTAAAAATAGTGTGTGTGGGAAGAATTGCCACATTCTTGTTTGATGAATTTGGCTCGTCCTCGGTATACTCTTGTGAGTTTTGATTGTCTTCCCTTCCATTGGCCTGCTTATCATTTTGAAAAGGACCACATGTCATCTTGCGAAGGCAGTTGTCATTGCAACACCGAGATACCTTACATGAATATGAAGGCTGAACTTAACCCCTACCATCCATAAACCCCTACCATCCATAATCCTACAAACCGATGGACGACATATACTGTAGCTAGATTCCCGCACGAGTATCTTGTTTAAAAAAAAAAAATCCCACTGTACACCTTGGTTTTGTAATATATTAAATTCGTGGATAATCTAGATACATTTACATTTCTGACAGATTTTAAATGCATCATGATATATTTGTTATATTTTTATATTCAATTATTTTCTTCAATCATATAATTTAAAGAATAACTCACATTCCACTGGTGTCTCTATTCATAAGAATTTTCTCAATATTTGCATGCATATAACACTTTCTGACATGTTTAAGTCATATTTTGAAATTCTTGACGGCAGTGGTTCTCAACCTGTGGTCTGTGGACTACTGGTGATCCGCAAGGCCATGGAAAGTGTTCCATGTAATTATTGCGGGTACACTTTCATTTTCGGAAACAACATATATTTTTATTCTTGGTTCTTTTGGTAAAGTCACGTAGAAGGGAAATAATTAAATAATTCTGATTTAACGATACAATTTTCTCTGATGATGATTGCTTGTGTTGCCATCGAAACGTCGTGAGAATTTTATTGTCTTATTTTTCTTATTTTATTATTATTTCCCTTCTACGTGACTTTACCGAAAGAACCAAGAATATGAATCCCTGCAGTCACGAAGGCTTTAAATCGAAACATATTTTACCGCTTGGTGGTCAGCGAAGATGTTACGAGGGTTGACTGGTCCGTCGGTCTAGAAAGGTTTGGAACTACTGATCGAAAGGATTAGAAAAATCCCTGACATGCTTAAATAAAAAAAATGGCACACACCTCATGAAATCACGATTTAAGTGCCGTTCATTTGCATTACCGTTAAATATTGCATTGAAGTGTAGTGGGAGGAGGTGTGCGACACAGTGGTTAATTCTGTGCATTCTGAATCTGCCGACCAAAGTTTGATTCCTGGCCATGGCAAACATCAGTGGTAAGTTATATCTGAATCAATTCTAGGCCCTCCTTCAACCAACCTGTAGTGACCAGGATTGTGAGGTACTGTCAATCAACACCGATGACTGACACAACGTGGGGAGGCCTTCATCTAGCAGTGGATTGTACTTTACTATTTGTAGTAGTGGGGTAGTAGTCTGGCAACGGAGGTGGATTTTTTTTCTGCAAATAATGTACCAAATGTTACGTAAGTTCAAATTCTTAACAAAAATAGTCAGGAGCCATGCAGTGTTTGTTCAAAGGCCGCTTGTGTTGTGGCCGAAACGTCGTGATTTTTTTGTTATTTTATTTTCACCTACGTGACTTTACCCAATAGAACCAAAGAGTATGGATCCTAGCAGTCACGAAAGCTTTAAATCTAGAATTAATCGTTACTCTTTAAAACAGTTGACCCTTGAGAATGACCAAAACATCTGGTACAGGCAGCATCATAGTGGGAAGGATTTGTCAATAAATCTGCAGATCATTCACTAACTCAATTATATTTGGAATTTAGTTTGAGGCTTAAAAAAAGAATAACAACCTAAATGGACATTATGGCAGCCCTCGGGCGGGATATTGAATTAAAATGCCTCTTTTTCATCCCATATTCCCGTGTGCTTGGCACCATGGCTGAATTGGATTGTATGCTTTGTCTGTCCTGAGTGAGGCACTCCTGACAGCCGTGCTTACACCGTAGGGCCACATTGGACCTTTGTGCAACTATCAGGCACCCTCAAGCAGCAGTTTAGCCAAATATAAATCAACCGACACAGTACAAGCCACAGTGAGATGTGGTTATTATCTTTATGGCATGTAACACTGTTGTTCTCGATTACAATGAACCCACATATCCTGTTATCTTTACGACTAGATTTTGCTTAAAGCTTTCGGGGGAAACAAATGGAACACCCCCTCGAGTGAAGATTCGTTCCTCGCTTTCCAAGTAATGCGTGTTGTTATGCATGCCGTCCGACGTTTCGCTCGCCACTTATGTTATACTTGACCGGGATTGAATGCAGTGTGCTAACCAAGTGCAGCATTTCTCCTACCAATGAACATGTAAAGAACATGAATAAACTAATAGGTATGAACTGACATCCAATTTTAAGCATAGGTGCACTGCCAAGATTATATTATTGTAAACACGAGATTATTTAGGAGGCACATGTATTTAAGTGATGTATAGAGGTAAGAGTGTAATCTTCCCTTCCATTAAATGTGCATCACATTCAGCTAATGGTCAATGCACTCCTGGATGAAGGCCTTCCCAAACCACCCACCATCTCTTGCAATCTTGTCATATAATTATTGCACCTATTAGCTGCACACACGCGGATTGCAGTGCTCCATCTCCTGGATTAACGTGCTCTTTGATGCGTCCCATTCTTAGTTCCCACTCCATCATTTTCATATTTTGATTTAAAGCTTTCGTGACTGCAGGGATTCATACTCTTGGTTCTTTCGGTAAAGTCACGTAGAAGGGAAACAATAAAACAATAAAAAATATATATATAATTCTGACGACGTTTCGACTGCAACACAAGCAATCATCATCAGGTGTGAAAACCACAGCAAGAAAATTTGATTTATTGTTTCCCTTCTACGTGACTTTACCGAAAGAACCAAGAACATTTTCATATTGTTAGCCATTGACCGTCATCCCCTCGAGCGACAAATCCTACCCAAGAATTTACTTTTTTTCACAGTTTGAATAAAATGTTATTGAACAGAACATTTAAAGGGCCACACACACTGTTAAATAATTTTAGTGTGATACATTTTTTTGAGGGATGTGCAATTAAATAAAGGCATTATGGACCTGTTTAGCATAACTGCGTGTTGAGTTTCGCTTCACGTTTTCTCAGTGCATCCCAGGTGCCCGGTCGATATATTTACCAGACTCGGCAGGTGAAAACGCAAGGGACTGGGATAGTCTCATTTGCAAGAGTGGCAAGGTGCTCAGCCAATCAAATGTAATGATTCCTCATCATGAACACCTTTTTTTCGTAAAGAAAATCAAACAAGCTGTAATGGAAAATGAGATTAAAAAAAGAACGTATTGCCATATTGTATATTACTGAGTGTTTGATTGATTTTCGAGATCCCGCATGATGAATATTATTTGCATTTGCCTCAGTGTTTTGCCTTTGAGTGAAAGTCTCTAGAATTGGTGAGATTCCATTAAACAGAAAACGTCTATTCTTTAAACAAATGCAATTGTTTTCGTATTATTGTTTATGTGCAGAAAATTTAAATATAAGATTCTTAAACTATTATAATTCTCCGAAGTTGTTGTTTGGCACGATGTCTCACGTTTGGTGCTTGACGCTGAGAATTAATTCAGTAACTGGGAGCTCTGTCAGGAATTGAAGCTCCAAGCACGAGGAGTGAAACATCAGACGTCATGATGAACGACACATGTTTTAACCATAAAACACACCCGAGAGTCATAACACTTTAAGAAATTTGATTTATTTTGTGTATCTAAAATTATGTTTAAACATCTGCATTTGTATCTTGACTTAAAGCTTTCGTGACTGCAGTAATTCATACTCTTTGGGTCTTTCGGTAAAGTCACGAAGATAGAAAGATAATAAAGAAAATAATAATTTAAAAAATCACGTTTCGATCGCAACACAAGCAATCGTCCTCAGGTGAAAAAAGACGAGGACGATTGCTTGTGTAACGATCGAAACATCGTGATTTTTGTATTATTATTTGTAAAATTTTTTCTATCTACGTAACTTTACCGAAAAACCCAAAGAATATCTGCATTTATCTTTAAACAAAACAAAGTTGTATTCTAAAAACTACCGTTATTCGCATTACAGCATGGCCTAGACATATATATATTTTTTTTTACTCTATATTTTATTATCGGGTTTTATGAACATGTGATCCAACTGTTGTCAGCAATCCATTGGTCCGGCGTATTATTCCTCCCCTCCTTAAGAGTCTCGTGCAAGATCTATGCGCGCAAGCCTTGCATGCAATGGCATCACAAACACAGGGAGCTTGCTTGATCAAATGGCTTGTGGGAACCAACTTTCCAATATGATTAATTAACCACTTTAGTAATTATGTGTTGCGAGCAATTAAAATACTAATCATTGTAAAATGTCTTCCTAACCAGGATTTACATGTATCAGCTGCAGATAGAGTTTCAAAATAAAGTTTTTTTTCCAACTTCCACAAATCGTCATCATCAATCACCCACGCTACTCTTTTAGAGGTTGGTTGTTTCCTTACACAGTCACTGCGACTGATTGAATAAAATCTAAATATGAGTAAATTGTTACCATTTACGCGATTAATCATGGTTTTCCTCCACCAAAGCTGAAGTGAGGTGAGTAATTAGTCATTATGTTGTATATTTTTCCACTCAAGTTATCATTGGCATCATTTCATAAGTTACAACTGTCTTGTCAAGGATGTTCAATGATATCAATAACTCACCTGAAAAAAAAAAACATGTTGGTCATTAGATCAAGGTGTCACTTTGCCCGATGTACGCCACTCAGATTGAAAAAAAAAACCTCCCAGAAGAATGTTACAGGTAAAGGAAATGAAATGCAGCCCTCCTATTTCATGCTCACATCACAGCTGGCGGGAGGAGCCAACTCTCCCTGCATGTCACGAAAGCTTTAAATAAAAATTTCTCCCGCCACTTGTCACACGTCTTCTTGGATAGAGTTGGACATATCCCAAACTTGACCCGCCCCTCCAAACGCAACCTGCCGATGTAACGCAACCTGTGGCGAACTCATTTTGAGCTGCCGGGGTGCACAGAGACGGGTGAGCGAGGGAGGCAGGGAGGGGGCAGATTTTAGAAACTTGGACCGCTGTTTCAACCTGCGGCCAAGGGAGAATAAACCAAACCGACAAACTCTGGATTCAAAGTCCGGTGCGCTGACCATCCCACACCCCGGCAGCAGCATCCCTCTGAAGCATTTACTGTATATCCACTGCAAAATAATTGATGACAATCAAAGTAGTAACGCATATAACATTGCGATTGTTTTGTAGTAGTGCATATCGCTGTGAACTCTTCAGTGGTTGCATTGTGTTAGCTTGTATAGTTTCAAATACCGCAATATATCACCTCTGATGAGCACTGGTGGCTAAGTGCGAAGGCTCAAGACCAATGACTATCTTGATTGGAAGCTTTCGTGACTGCAGGAATCCATAGTTTAACTCATAAAATGTATCTTACTAAATGTATAGCCTAGGAGTAGATTGCATCGAACCGGGGACCTCCGGATTGCAAGTCCAATGTGTTATCCATATGTAGATTTCAAACAGCCCAGAGGACATACGATTATAAAATACAAAAGTAATAATTTTCGTTGATGCACATTAGTAGCTACATCACAACGAATGCCCTTCCGTTGCGTTGTGTTTTCCCATCACAAGATGGTTGGCGTAACTGTAACTAATGATCATCGTTAAGTTTTAATCTCACAATCTGTAAATAAATGTAACGCATTTTTCACATTCAGTGTATACCACGTATTAATCAATTACGCAACTAATTCACAAGCGCATTGTTGACAAGTTGTTGCGCTGGATTAGTGTTGGTTAGCTGTTTTGCAAGCGTGCCCTTAACGTTACGCATTACCAACAGCGATGGCCATGACGCACGAGTGTGGTGGCCGCGAGATAGGGAAAACGCCTGACTCAACAAAAAAATAAATGGATGCTCTACACGAGCCCTTTTATTTAAACAAGTGAGACGTTTTCACAAAAAGCGCATGCAATGAGTCGCAAGGAGAACCCTTTGTGTGAATGGTATTCTTGGCAACAAGACAGCGTGTGACTGCCAGTGGCCGTCCTTGGCTTATGCAACAGATGACTCAAATGCTCGTGAATCCAGCTGTGCGACTCGTGTGTTCGGCGGCAATGAGCTCATGCCAGCCAGATTTTAGCGGAAAGTTGTCGTGGACAAAATAAGTTTACAGGAAAGAGAATTTTTTTTTTAAATCAAAGACATGCCACCCATGTTAATAAGAGTAGTTGTTATTGGATACAAGCAGGGACTGTTGAGGGTCTCATAGCTTGCTTATGCGTTCAGATGCTAACTCGACCACAGGCCTCCTGGCTCATAAGCAGAGAGAAGTTGGCTTATGGAAGTGTGGTTTTAATGAATAATTGTATATCCTCCGGTCTGTTCAAAAGTTACAAAATGACTCAAAATGTACGCTTCACAGCTGCATAATATACACAATAATTCACGTGGCATCGTTAAATACAAAGCAATACGACTTGCATTTATAAAGTGCCCAAATGAAGCAGCATCTCAAGATGCTGTTTGAAAGGAGATACATTTATTGAATGTAATCGATGGGAAGAGAAAGTTTATCCTTTTTACAGGTGAAGGGGGAACGTTAATCTGAGAATAGTACCAGGGACGAGGACTTGACAAATGAATACTACATGTACATATCCAGAAATGTAGGTGCAGGAGAAGCCAATCGTAATAATCGAAGGTTTGGGGGAAGGAAAACCATCTAAACATGGAAAGCCGTTCTGAAGAATTTTCAATCTAAATTTAAAGTTCAAAGCTCCATGTGGCTTCTTATTGTCGGAAGGAAGAGCATTCCAGACGACCGCCGAAGTGCATCGGATTGCGTTACGATGCGGTGACCACCGTCTTTGTTCAATGGCCAGACAAAAGCCGCTGCAAGGTTGACTGTACTGTAGTTCACGTGATGGTTTATGCTCCTGCTATGACGAAATCAGCCTAATTGACCAAAACGCCACTTAGTTCATACTCCGGTAATAATGATCTATTCATCCATGAGAGTTTTACGAAGAGACCTTCTTGAGATGTTTCACCTATTGCTAAGTTATATTCGCAGATTGGATGAAATCGGAGTGTCCCATAGAAAACCCCACAAACATGACGCTGCACAGACAGTCAGGTGGTGCAACACCGTTGAGTGTGCGCAACGCAGATGTGTTCAATGGGAGCGTCGTCCAGCGTTCTTTCCCGTTGTAAAGTCTTCGTTCGATGGTTAGCCAAAAGCCGCTGCTGCGAGGATGACCGGAGTTTGGGTGATGGGTTTCATGCTTCTGGACGAGATCAACGAGGTATTGCGGTTCATTTGTGGCAAGCACTTTTGCGTGTAATAAGCGTGAACAAATGTGGATAGCCAGACGGAGGGAGTTCCACGTTCCAACACGATTTTCCATGCTTTGTTGCCTTCTAGAATGATCTTCCGATATTCTGCAAGGTACCCCCCCACCCACTACTACCCTCTCCACCCCGCAGCGTGCGAGCTGTTCTCACAGTTGGCCTCCCCTTTATCTACTGACGCTGGGTGCACATTTTCTGCCACTTTCGGCACTTTCCTGGCTGTTTATGTTGGCGCGGCCCGGACCCCAGATGATTCCTGCAGGAGACAACGGGGCCAGGGCCAAACCCTTCGGCCCGAGTCGTGGGAACAAAGGCGGCCGTTCTCCATTCACAAACAGAGCTCCTCGTGTGCAAACAGAGCATGCTGTGACCCTTTCAAGCCCATCCAATACCAAGAAAGGGGACTTGTTAGGGTTTCCTAAATATTTATAATCTGAGCAAAATGACGGAGGTTTATGTTACTTTTATGTTAAGGCTGATATTTAAGCGCGGGTGAATTGTGTTTATAACCATCATGATTAAAAAAAAACGAAATGTGAAGACGAATAAATATTTCTGCATTTGTTTTATTTGACGTAAATTTACAGTGAACATCTGTATCTGGTTATATTTTTTGCATGACTTCCAAGTTTAACTTATAAAAAAATAAGTTACACTGCATCTTTTACAATTTTTTTACAAATTATTTTGAGTCACGTGGAATTGTTGAAAATGAAGAAATCACAGGGATGACTCCGATGTTCAACATGAAGTTGTCTCTTGACAGAATGTGCATAGGCAAGAAACACATGCAGTGTATTTGCTTGTGCATAACTAATAGCTATATTAAATGTATCTACACCGACACCTTAAAATTAAATATAGCCACCGATACAGATGTATTCTACGCAATTAGTCCACAAAAGTGATAGATTTACAAAGAGAAAATCTCAAAATAATGATAGCAGTCAGTCCGTTTATTTTTGGATAAGGCCGACTGAGCTTAGAAGCAATTTTTGAATCGAAACGTGTCTATAGATATTCAATACATTTCTTGTTTTTGACGTTTGCTAAAAATAAATAAATGATAGCCTTTGCCAATCTACAGCTGTCAAATCGTGGAGGTTGTTTAACTATACTTCACCACGCCGATCAGTGCAGCTCAGTAAGAGTGGGCAGCCGGGGGAAGAGAAATGGCTCAGATATGACTCACCACTGATGTTAGCCGTGGCCATAATCGAACCAAAGTAGCCAGGTTTATAGTGCAGTGCTTAAAATATTGTAGCACCGATCATTGATATTTGCTTTTACATATTATGTCTAAAAAAAGATTAGCATTCAATTATATTATTTTCTTGAAACTTTTTTTGTACAAGGTCTCTTACATTTACAAATGCATGGTTACGCAAGCGAAGAGGTTATCAGGCCCCATACACCCGGCCCTCTGATTCAATTGGGCTGATTACGAGGACCTTTTTCGGGCAGGCTCGCCATCAGCAGTATTCAATACCCTACGCCCGTGTACACTTTATCTTCATAAAAAGCAATTACACAAAACGTCTGGTTGCTCTCCTCGTTTAGCATTGACACATCTTTAAATACAGTAATTGAGATTCAGTGCAACATTCGTATATTGCATTATGCCTTCAATTGTCTTTGTACACAAACCACCAGACAAAGATCCCCAGTAAAGGCTGTTTCAAAGATGCTGGGCCACGTGCTGTTAGCGAGCACTTTTGAAGGTCAGCACGACGCACGAGGGGGTGGTATCACGTGACCAAATAATCCACAATAACTGCATTACCAAATTGTTCCACGGCTAACTAAAAAAAACATTTGTTTTTGCTGCTCGCACAGAGGAAAAAGTGTGGGATTGGAAGAAGGCCAATCAGCAAATACATTTAATTTATTCTTGCCTCTCAGCAGAAAAAAAACAACAACCGATATTTCATTGTATATTTCTGTGGAAACTACATGTAAAGATACCCCAATTAGCCTTACAAGCTGTTAGGGCAAGTGCTTTTGGCAACATACGTGAGGTTTATTGCCTTTGGTCCCCCCCTCCCTCCCAGTAGTTATGTTGAACCACGCCAGACCAAGTAGAACACAGTGCTTGTTTTATGCCGAGTCATTTAACAGGAGACCCAGAGCAGATGCAGGTAGTAATTGCAAGTAAAAATAACACTAGAAAAAAAATCAACGAGGGTATCCAGAAAAGTTATGCAACATACTAAACACTGTACGCTATTATCTTGCATTAACGAGCTACAGTGAGACACCAACACCGCAGTGATTTGATCAAAGGTCACAATTATTTTGCAATTCCCCTCGAGTATAAATTCATTTTGGTAAAATGTTTACCTTCTCATTGCTATTGTTTTTCCTTTGCAAAGCTGTGTTCACTCCATTCATATAAATGTAACATTGCCAAAAAGTTGGTGCGCACACATTCAGAAATAGCAAATAATTTATTATAATATGCAAGATTTAATACTTGTATTTTGAGGAACTAAGTGCATTGTTTCGTACCCACAATGTAAAGTTACCACAAACTAATTTTATATTCACATTAAAACAATACGAACTTTTATGCTCGTAAATTCATTTCTCAGAACTTTTAAAATGTGCGTTTTATTATTAAACAGATTGCCCCATGCGTGATATTTTCGTGTGTATGATATCGGTTGCTAATCCGTGTGTTTGTTTGCCTGGAACAGGTCCCTGCAGGGTGGGCTGGTAGGACAAGTCTCTGCGCTGTCTATTGCTGATTTTACACCCAACAGCACGAGATTTCACTTCGTTAAAGTATTGAAAGGGGACGGACGGACGGACACATTAATCTATTGCAGGCTGGTACACTCAGTTTACAACTTCGTTCCTACCAGTATAACTCAGTTTTGACCGCTCCACTCATTTCAAGAAACGAGCGATTCGTTAGCTGATGTTAGGCATCTCATATGAACGAGGTCAATATTCAGAGGAGGAAAATAAAAAAAAATCCCTCTTGCCTTCATAATTCAGTGTATACAAAAAAATCACTGAATCGGCTTGTCGGTCTTGCACTGCTTATCTTACGTACACTATAAAAATAACCAGGAGCGTGATGTGAACCCTGGCTAAACAAAACAAATCACGGCAAACAGACGCGGCACCGGCAAACTGTTGAATCTCTACGGGGCTCCATCACGAAGCTGCCGTACACTAAGCGAGATGGCGACGTGTCTGGTGGTCAGCCGACGCGACGGAGGCTTGGTGGCGATGGAGCGTCTCTCGTTTGGCGAGCCGAGCCTGCTGCTGGTCGTGCGACACGTCTCCCCATGCACGCCGGCGACTCGCGCGCTCGTCCGGCTCGCGGTGTTCCAGCCAGGGGCCATGAACGGTAAGGAGCGCCGTGCTACCCAAGGGGCCCTTTCGCTTTCAAAAAAAAAATCGACCCGCACGCGTTGACGCCCTCCACGACAGTCGTTTCGTGCCATGAGGCAGCCCCAGGTGGTGTCCCGGAGAAAAGTTTGTGTAACGGGTTTTTTTGTTTTTGTTTTTACCCACTGAATCTTAAAGATCTATTATTCTTCAGGTGTGTGTTGTTTTTCATTCGCTGTACCGCTCTGTATGGAAAGTTGAACTTCCCGTGGTGAAGAGATGGACTCCGCAGAGAGAGTTGTGAGGGGTAAAAATAAGAATTGAAAGCACGTGAGCAGAAATGTATAGACGCAAACTGTAAGCTCTTGAGTGCCTCCATAAAGTGTTCCACTTTTCATGCAGATGTCACCAATGCCTGCCTACAGGGCATTATTTCCATTGCGGGGGGTATTTACAATTCCCTTGCAATCTCGGATGCCACTACAAGAGGCGAGGCCACCAAGATGTACCCTCACTATTTGACGTCCTCGTGTAGCTGTTCGTATGCATCACCCGTCACGCTGACCCCCCCCCCCCCCCCCCCCCCCCCCTTGTGAGAGACAGAGTGCACAATAGGCTTTTGTGGCGAAGAAGAGATGTGTCTAAGCTGGGCGACGAAATCTTTATTTATTTTCTCTTGAAGAAAATAAGAATTTGACTTTGGTGGAAAGGAAATGAACCGTGTCGAAAGTGATACAGCGAAAGCATGTTGTGATTTTAGCAGTGTGAAATCAGATGGGCAGGAAGACCATTTTTGGTCATCGTAATATATAGTCCACTTCACATTTCTGCTTTGTAATTGCTTAGTAATTACGTAGTTATTACTCAGAGACCTCAATGCCCACTCTGACGTTGAATGGTGGAAGGGGCATAGCAATCACATCGAAGCTGCCAATTTTACATCAGACCCAGCCTGGATAACAGCCTTCCAAAATGACTTGATGACTAGAAGTGACACAAAAAATTAAGAGGAATTTATGAAAGATTATATGACTGGGGGAAGTGGCAGATAAGTGTGCTGGAGATGATCAGAACACTGCCACAAAATATGCATGAAGCCATCAATTGTAACATTCTCTCAAGAGTGCTAATGCTTTCTGAATCAAGGTGGACACTTTTTCTTTTTACATTTATGTGACTTACATTTTGAAGAAGAGCTACCAGTTCCCGTCTCGTGTTGTATTGTTCGCATACTTGATTTCTTGCCTGGCATTTTAAAAGCTTTTGCACTCATGTACGTTCAATTTTAAGCAAATCCAACGCAATCACATTTCGAATTGTTTTAATAATATATGGTGGATTTTGCCAGGTCCCTGACCCCGTTTTCAAAATGCATTAACAAAGAAATGTGATTAAAAAATGGACTTATAGTATAATATCGATTTATGATTATCAGTACGTACATGATGATACATTGATTAAAATGTTATTCCTTCACTCACAATACTTGCATCAAATCATGCGTTTGGGAACTAACTAATTACAATGTATGTCAACTGCATGCAAATAATTTGTTCATCTTGCATTTAGGATAATAGTGGGGACCAAACTGAACACTCGAGACCAATGAATTATAAACAATACAAATAAGCCAATAATAACTAGACTAAAAGAATAGTTCCTGTTGCATTGTGACAATTTATCAAATAGCCAGGGGGTGAATTGTTACGTGCCCAGTGCTCAGCACAGAGAGATCCGTCTTCTCTTATGTAAATCATCGTAGCCTGGAGAGATCAGACACAGCCAATTCTACTGCAAGTGTTATTAATGATTTACAATGTTCTGTTTTGTACAAATTTTAATTTGTAAATTGCATCATGTTATTTTTTATCAACAAAGTATATATTCTTTAACGAAACGTGACGCAAGTTTGTTTGTTAAATATAGCGTGCACACAAAAAACCCTAGCGCCTAATAATATGAATATGCACATGCTACGAGATAACCAAAGTGAACGCTCAAGACGGACGGTGGAAGGCAGAGGAAGCAGATTATGAATTCTGGTTTCGGAATGCAACGAAAGATGAATGAAAGGAGCCAGTGGGGCTGTTAAAAATGGGGGGATTTAATATGTCGCACACTTGACAGTCGAGTACAAATAGATTGGTCTGCAGGTAATTCATCCATCTAAACATATAATAGCCCCGAGCTTTGTCTAGGATGCCCTGCGCAGCACTTAGCATTCGTGCCCAGTGTCTCCAAGCAGAGAGTTGGCGGGAGGGGGGGGGCGAGAATGCCAGTAAACAAGCGTGTACTTCGTTAAAAAGAAACACGGCACTAGCGTGCTCCAAATATAACGTACAGCAATATTGACTGCTGCAATAGGTGAAGAGGATTGTACACGTAATTACGTGCAGAAAAAACACATTAAAAATGCAATAAAGCAGCTTACGCTTGAATCCATTGCTCATGGGTACATCAGGATCCTTGATCGCAAAAAAATAATAATTGCCAAGCAGCAAAAACATTGAAGCGTTTATTCTTTTGCCCAATGTATTAATGGTAATTAAAGGAAGGAAAATACGTAACTGTGTGTGTACGTATGCGTTTTAGTCAGAGCTGCAGTCGAGTTTTGCAATCAGGTTTGCCTGATGTGTTGAATGCCTTTGTTTCGCCTGCCTGGATCCCATCACCAAAGCTCTGATACTGCAGACAGCCAAGCCCACATTCGGAGATCTGACCCAGGTAGGGGGTTCAAATTCCTCACTGACTTTGAAATGAATTGTGATGTGCGCAGGAAACCACTCCAGATGACATCATGTGGGAGAGGGGTGGGGATCTGTCCTGTGGTGAGCGGTGGCGCAGCGGTTAGCGCACTACGCTACGAACCCGGCGATCCGCGTTCCATGCCCGCTCACGGCCAACGCCAGTGATGAGTATCTTAACGGTGTCCTGGGCCTTCCCTAGGTCGACTCAGCCTCAAATGAGTGTCTGCTACAGTGTGTAAACATCACCACGCGGGAGACAAAGGCGGCCGGGTGTGGTATTGGCCACCCACAGTGCCGTCTTTCATAGCTGCTACTCGCTAACAGCACTTGCCCCAACAGTCTGTAAGGCCACACGGGGGATCTTTGTCTGTCCTTCACCACACACTGGCTCTAATCACCTGTCCCGACCACACCAGATCTGCAGTGTCCAGTTCACTCCCCCACACGTTGACGCATGGGTTAGAGATAGGAGTGCCCCCATCCTTGCCCTGGATGTACATTGCAGGGTGATCTCGCAAGCGGTTCGTACAATGTGTTCAAAAGTGCTCGGGAACACAGCGTTGGCCGAGACAAAGGCAACCGGTTCACTTCGCTCACAGCCGGGCGCCATCACAGACTTGCATTGCACCCCGCTGTCTGAACAAAGCACCAGTGCACACACAATCGAGCACATATGCAAAACATTTAAAATTGTTAGACCTACGGACCATTTCATTTGTATTTGCCTTTATACCTTAATAATGCTGAATTTGCAGTTTTGTTTAATAAACCAGAAGACTTAAATACCACTGGTGCTGCGGAGTATTATTTAGACTCGAGCATCCTGTGGCGTACAGCCTAGCCATCACCTGCTGTTGTCTTGAGTTCCGAAGGAGCATCACTGCTTCGAAGGTAATGCTCTTAAACTTGATGTAAATTAAGTCACAGGTGTCGTCAGGTGGTACAGAGGTCTGACCAACTCTTTTTTACACATACAAAGTTTGCCAGTGCAAACATCAATTCTCAGGCTTCGCTTAATGCGAGTTTCATGGCCAGTATTAATGGAAGAGGAAGCTGTTCTCTGGCTCCTTATGGGTCTTCTGGACATCACAGACCCACTGATAATATATCAGTTAACACTGATCAGAGACTTCTTTGTCAACATTCTAAATGCAGTTGAATAGGTAAGCCCGATCAACGACTTCATAAACCAAGCAAAGAATCTGATACTTTATTTCATCTGCCTCAAGGATGTTTTTTGTTTACCTTTATTCATGCTGACAGAACTTACTTGAACCACCAAAGTATGTGGTGAAGCTGTCTTGCACTTCGACTCAAATGAGTGAATTTCACAAACCTTCAGGCAGGGCTATTACGCACGTTTTCACGGCTGTGCTGGATAGCTCTCCGATGTGTTTGCGGGTGGTACCCCGTGCTGTTCAGCACGATGATGATGCCCTTCGTTCCTCTTCACGTGCTCTGCACAAGTGGCAAAGCTAATGCACAACATTGGCTGGCCTCCATCAAACGCCAGGAACGGCTGGCAAATGATGTAAATAAATATCATTTTCCCGAAGAGGCTCCCAGACCGCGGAGGCAAATGTCAGACATTATGCCACACGACACGCAGTGCGACCGAAAAAATGGATCGCAGGGCTATTTACAGTGAGGGAAAAGTGTATTTGATCCCCTGCTGATTTTGTACGTTTGCCCACTGACAAAGAAATGATCAGTCTATAATTTTAATGGTAGCTTTATTTGAACAGTGAGAGACAGAATAAACACAACAAAATCCAGAAAAACGCATGTCAAAAATGTTATAAATTGATTTGCATTTTAATGAGGGAAATAAGTATTTGACCCCTCTGCAAAATATGACTTAGTACTTGGTGGCAAAACCCTTGTTGGCAATCATAGAGGTCAGACGTTTCTTGTAGTTGGCCACCAGGTTTGCACACATCTCAGGAGGGATTTTGTCCCACTCCTCTTTGCAGATCTTCTCCAAGTCATTAAGGTTTCGAGGCTGACGTTTGGCAACTCGAACCTTCAGCTCCCTCCACAGATTTTCTATGGGATTAAGGTCTGGAGACTGGCTAGGCCACTCCAGGACCTTAATGTGCTTCCTCTTGAGCCACTCCTATGTTGCCTTGGCCGTGTGTTTTGGGTTATTGTCATGCTGGAATACCCATCCACGACCTATTTTCAATGCCCTGGCTGAGGGAAGGAGGTTCTCACCCAAGATTTGACGGTACATGGCCCCGTCCATCGTCCCTTTGATGCGGTGAAGTTGTCC